AGAACTACTCCTTTAAAATAACTAAGAAAATTTGCCTTTGGGTATTTCATGGTCAAAGTCAGATGGGGGAAGCTCAAGTCTGTGGTACCTTTCATCCTTTCATACACACAGACACACACACACAGACACACACACACAGAGTCTGCCCATCTGCTTATTGAAGACTGGATTTCCTTTTCAAGAGAAAACTTCTTGTTATACATAATTGCAGTATAAAAGGGTTAAAATGAATCCCTAGAGGTTTTAGTCCAAGTGCAGGTGATTGATATTAGAGCCTTTCTCATCTAGGTTAATGGGGAGGCTCAGTAGAGATACCATTCTCTTCATGGGCATATGGTTGTTCTGGTGTACCTTCATTTCTGCATCAGTAAGCAGAAGCTCAGAGGTAGTTCCAGTATGTGCAGCCACGTGTGCTTGCGACTTAAGTGAGATCACAAAGCAGTGTTTTTTAGAGAAACCTAGAACTATAATTAAGTTTATGGAAAATTGGATAACAGTAATAAAAATGCTTCTCAAGATCAAAGGAGAAGCATTTGCTTGTGATTAGTTTGATTTATGCTGAGCTTGACCCAGGAGCCTCCCACTACTACTGTTTCTTTACTACACACTGTACATTTATGAAATATGCATACACTTAAGGCTGTCATATAATATGTACAAGATTTACTGATGACAGCAGGTTATTACTGTTTTAGATGAATGCAAGTTATTTGGACTTTGAAAAACAAAGAAAAAATGAACTATGAAAATAATGAGTAACCTTGTAGTTTTTCCTTAGTTGCTAACAATTTATAATAGTGCTACATCCTACCCAATTTAAGGGGAAAAAAATAATGTCTTTCTAGTGGGTGAATGGCTTGAGGAAGTGGGACTAAATGAAGCTCATAGGAGTAGTCAGTGAGATGCCATCTGTAACAAGTCTTAAATTTGTTTCTATGCATTGGGCCTTTCCCACTATATATACAGCATTAGTTCAAGTTCTTCATGATTTTTAATTTAAACTGTGTGAATAGAAAACCTGAATATCTAATACTAAAGATGGCTGGTGATTTAGAAAAGATGTTAATATCAAAACCCAAAATGATTAATATTACTGGCTTCAAAACACTATAGACAAAAAGAATTTGTTTGACAGTTTAAATGATATGAAAGATTGGATAGATGGGCATTTGTTTCCATTTCTGATCATTGATTGAGAAAAGGTTGTGGTTAAATAATGAAGCTGGTCCTATCTATGTGTCTATCTATTATCTATCTATCTATGAGAAAGAGAGAGAAGAGAGAGCAAGAACTGGGGGCAGAGAGGGGAAGAGGGAGAGAGAGACAATCTTAAACACACTCCAACGCTCAATGCTGAGCCTGACAGGGAGCCCTGAATCATGATCTGAGCTGAAATCAAGAGTCTGATGCTTCACTAAGCCACTCAGGTGCCCCATAATTAAGCTCTTCCTAATGCTTGTTAGATAAAGATTAACAATTATCACATTATCAGAATTCAAATTTCAATTCATTTGCTCAGTTTGGAAGGGAATAGATTTTCCTTTGCTCTACCAATGAAGTCTTTCAGATTTAACTCTTTTTAAAGGATTAGATCTATACCTTTGTGCAGACAGCTCACAAATATACTTTTATTTTATTTATTTTTTAAAAGTTAATTTATTTATTTGAGAGAGCGAGCGAGCGCAGGTGGAGGGACAGAGGGAGAGGGAGAATCTCAAGCAGAATCCCCACTGAGCATGGAGCCTGATGCGGGGCTCTGTTTCAGGACCCTGAGATCATGACCTGAGCCAGAACCAAGAGTCAGATGCTCAACTGACTGAGCCACCCAGATACCTCAGATGGATAAATTTTTAAAACTGGAAGGGCTCTTTGAGATCATTTAATACAACCCCTACATTTCTGAGGTTAGTAATCTGAAGTCAAGGAAATAGTAATAATAGCTAACGTCTATTGAGCTCTTACTTCATCAATTCATTAGAACAACTCTATAAATAAGTCCTATAGAAAGCAGTGGCATTGCTGGCTTTTTGTTTCCTTTGTCAATGCCCCTCACAATTTAAACAATTTAGTTCTGTGCATTTGGGAATAGTTCATAAATTCTGTTATTAAATTAAGTGATTTCTTTATATTTAAATTCATAAAAAGAAATAGTGATTATTAAAAGATAGTTATGCCTGTTATTTAATGTTGTAAAACTGTATCTTTTAATGTAATTACTGCTTTTTTAAAGATTTTTCCCTACCCTACAAAGCTATCATATTTTAATAAATATGCCTGCCTTTATAGTATTTTAAAATATACTTAAGAAAGTTCAATCTTAATTATTTTTTTCTTGATACTGTGATTCTGAAAACTAGTCCATTTAATTTTTATTGAATTTTGGAACTACTTTGTCAGTCATGTGTAATAAAAGCTGTGTATATGTGTGCATACATAAATGTAATGTAGTTATGTTGATAAATGTGCTGTGAGTTAAATTTTGATCTGCTTTGTTACTTTGGAAGTTTTTTTCTTTAGTGTCAACATACTACCAATTTTTCTTTCCCTTAAATATCTTGGCAGCTGAGAGGATCGTTTTTATTAGTGTAAAGATGAAAACAAAATCATGATATACTATGTATGTGATATATTGTGAAAACAAAATCATGATATACTGTTTATGTGCTATACTATGTATGTGATAGAGAATATTTCAGTTTCAAAGTTTTGAAATCTTTTTTTACACTTTGTGAGATTTTATATACCTTTGATCAAATAGGTTTTTGTTTTGTTTTGTTTTTACTGATTTCAAGAATTATTTTGGTCATTTGATGTCATATTTTAAAATGAAACAAATTTCTATTTATGGGTGCGCCTGGGTGGCTCAGTGGGTTAAGTCTCTGCTTTCGGCTTAGGTCATGATCTCAGGATCTTGGGATCGAGGCCTGCATCAGGCTCTCTGCTCAGCAGGGAGCGTGCTTCCCCCTCTCTCTCTGCCTGCTGTCTGCCTACTTGTGATCTATCTCTCTGTCAAATAAGTAAATAAAATCTTTAAAAATTTTTTCTAATTATGTAAAACTTTAGTTTTTCTTAATTTAACTATTTTATTTATTTATTTATTTTAAATTAAGTAGGTTTTGCATACAGCATGGGGCTTGAACTCATGATTCTGAATTATTTTTTTACATATTTGTTTATATATTTATATATTTGTTTATATATCATTTTTTAAATTAACCAATCGATCAATTATTTTTTTTGAAGGGAGGTGTGTGTTTTTTTTATTTTTAGTCATCAGAGAGAGAGCTAGCACAAGCAGGGGATTGGGGGGGGCGGCAGGTTGAAGGAGAAGTAGGCTCCCCACTAAGGAAGGAGCCCAGTGCCAGACTCGATCCTAGGACCCTGGGATCATCACCTGAGCCAAAGGCAGACAACTGACTAAGCCACCCAGGTGTTCCTGGGATATATTTTTTAATCAAGATGTAATTTTAGTAAAATGTTCTGCAAAATATTTAGTTGTGGGGTTTTTTTTTTTTTCATTTTTTAAAAAAATTGCAGTAATCATAAAAGTTAACCATTTTAGAGGCACCTGGGTGCCTTAATGGGTTAAAGCCTCTGCCTTTGGCTCAGGTCATGATCCCAGGGTCTGGGGATCGAGCCCCACATTGGGCTCTCTGTTCAGCAGGGAGCCTGCTTCCCCCACCCCCTGCCTGCCTCTCTCTCTACTTGTGATCTCTGTCTGTCAAATAAATAAAATCTTTAAAAAAAAAAAAGTTAACCATTTTAACTATTTTTAAGTGTACAATTCACTTGCATTATTAAAGTTACAGTATTGTGTAGTCCAAAGAGAAACTTATAAAATACTTTAGTTTTAAATATTTGAGGCAGATTGGTTAGTTTCTTTCTTTTTTGGCGGGGGAGGGGTAAAGTCTTACCTTCCAACAACCCAATATTCAGTGTGATCTACTTGTACTTACTGAATTCTAAGCTTGCCATTTAAATTAGAATGGTTTCTTTTGATTTGTACTTGTTCCATGTTTCTAGGTATGTATTAAAATTACATCGTGTTTCATTTTACTGCAATTTTATATTTTCTTCTTTTGGAGCAGTGAAATAGATATATATGAACTTTGAAGGAGGTCAAACTAAGTTATGTGAACACAGAGAAAATTGTTTAGAGAAGGGAAGAAAGATTTGGGGATTGAAGACTGTGGTACACAAAAACGTCTGACAGTCTCAGACACAACTGGTTTTCTTCCCCTCCCAGAGTAGGAAGCACATCTAGTGTAAACGATATTTGGGCCTGTGAGCTAAAAGAATTCACTGGGTAGGAATTGGACTCAACAGGAAGCATTGTTCAGTAGATCCTCTGTGTGTTACTCTTTGTGCTCAAACAAAAATACAGCTGTTTAGAGATTTAAGCATTATTTCTAAAAGAGTTGAAATACTCTATTCATATTACAGATGTTAAATGTAGTTTTCTGGCTGTTTCTCTTCCTCATTCATGACAAGCACACACTGCTCTTGTTACACAATAAAGAAATAGAGAACTTAGCAGGAACCTTTTTCAGAAAATGCTTTCAGTTTTTATTTATTTTTATTTTTATTTTTTTATTATTATTATTTTTTTAAAGATTTTAGTTATTTGACAGAGATCACAAGTAGGCAGAGAGGCAGGCAGAGAGAGAGGTGGAGGCAGGCTCCCTGTGGAGCAGAGAGCCCGATGTGGGGCTCTATCCCAGGACCCTGGGATCATGACCTGAGCCGAAGGCAGAGGCTTAACCCACTGAGCCACCCAGGCGCCCCTGCTTTCAGTTTTTAGAAGGCAAATAAGAATTTAAGAAGATAAACACAAAAGTCATTTGAATTTTAACTTTACCTGTTAATAAAGATAACTTTTTATTACATTGTCTAAAAGTATATTAGTATACTTTTGATGCAAGCAAAAGTATAATTTTTATCTGTGTTGATTATTCTGTGTTGTAAAGAGTGACACTCCTAATGAAATATATTTATTACAGCTCAAAGATGGCGGTAAAGCATCCCAGGCAAATGTAAGAATAGGCGATGTGGTTCTCAGCATTGATGGAATAAGTGCACATGGAATGACTCATCTTGAAGCCCAGAACAAGATTAAGGGTTGTACAGGCTCTTTGAACATGACTCTGCAAAGGTAATTTGCATTTTGTTTGCCTCTGAGGGAGAAAACAATACTGAGGAGTGTGTTTTTGTGTATCTCATTTGAGGTGTTAACTAAGAAGTTTCTTCTACCATTGTTTCAGGTAGATAAATTACAAAATATAATGGCTTTTGAGTAATTGAGCAGTGTGAAAAATTGGTGAAAGCTTTGGATTATTTCCCCATAAAAAGACATGCATTCATGTACTGATAAAATTTGTGTATGGTTTTAGAAAATCTAAGAATTCCTGAAATTTCTCAATAGAGTGTAGGCTAAAAATTCTTGTTACAGGGTAAATTCTTTTTTTTTTTTTAAGATTTTATTTATTTATTTGACAGAGAGAGATCACAAGTAGGTAGAGAGGCAGGCAGAGAGAGAGAGGAAGGGAAACAGGCTCCCTGCTGAGCAGGGAGCCCAATGCAGGACTCAATCTCAGGACCCTGAGATCATGATCTGAGCCGAAGGCAGAGGCTTAACCCACTGGGCCACCCAGGCACCCTATTATAGGGTAAATTCTTATTATTATATCTAGGGTAAAATTCTTATTATTGGGTAAAACTCTTGGCTTTAATATTCTGGGTAGTATATTAGAAGGTATTCTTTTAAAATAAATAGTTAGGCTTTTCCTAGTATGTCTTTTTTGCCCTTTTTTCCTGAGTGGAAGAAAATATTTTTACATTTGAAATACAGATTTTTCAGAACTTACTGTTTTGTTTTTTAAAGATGCTCTGGCCTCAGATGACTAGCATAGCATAGCTAGTCATCTCATTGATTATAATGTATCAGGCATTTTGAGCATTTGACCTACCTTGAAATCATGTGGATTGCTTGCTAAAAATACTGATAGGAATCAGAATTATCTGAAAGGGCCAAGAAGTATATTTTAGTAAGATCCCTATAATTATTATGAATTATAAAGTTATAAGCACTGCAGTATCTTGGGCCCAGAGGAAGGGAGGTAAAAGGGAGTGGGGAGAAGGTGACTGAATGATAGCTTTCAGCCTTTAAGGTTTAATAGGGAAAATAGCTATCATTTATCAGCTGAGTATGGAAAGTTTTAAATAAATCTTGTTTTTGATGAGTACAAAAAGTGTTCTCTATTTCTATAAAATTTGGAAAACACCATTTTCCCCCCAGAACATCTCAGAGCCTTCTATAAATTATTGTGTATATTGTTAATTTTTAAGAGGGAAAAAACATGTGGTACCAAACATATTTGGCTATGGAACCTTTTTTTCTTGGAGGCTCTCCTGGGACTATTTAAAGGATATATACAGGGTAAGGTATGTACTTTTCTGGAAGTGTATCAATTTGGTCTTAAAACTGAATAGGAGAAATTTTTATGAACTTAGACTTAGGGATTTACTTTGATATAACCAGCCCCGCCAACCCTCCTCTTTTGTGTGTGTATGAGAAATTCCTGTCAGTGGGACTGTTAGGTCAAAGGTTATTTGTATTTAAATTTTGATAGCTGTTAGGTATATGTTTTAATGCATATAAAGGAGTCAATGAAAAAAAATAACCTGCTAAAAATTTCTATTTTTGTAGTGTTTTTTTTTCTGTTCTGTGTACTGAGATCTGTAACACGAAATTATTGTTACTAATTAAATGAAAAGCAGTAATTTTTTTAAAAAGATTTTATTTATTTATTTGAGAGGGAGACAGGATGAGAGAGGGAACATAAGCAGGGACAATGGGAGAGAGAGAAGCAGGCTTCCCGCTGAGCAGGGAGCCGGATGCAGGGCTTGATCCCAGGACCCTGGGATCATGACCTGAGCAGAAGGCAGATGCTTAATGACTGAGCCACCCAGGTGCCCCGAAAAGTCGTCATTTTTATTTATACTCATTTTACTAAATACGAATTTTGAAAGGGTACCACGAAGTCAGTAAACTTAGATATTAGATTAGAAGCTTAGCTGTATCTTACTTTCTTTTGAAAATACTTCAGGGTCCCATAAGAATAGATGAAAACCAGATGTTACTTTGTTTGTATGCATTTCCAATTTAAGTAATCTGTTACTGACCCTTAACAAAGATTCTTTTAAGCCACTTAAATATGAAATTTAACAAACCAAGTTATTATAAACATTTGGAGATACTGCTTAATTTTGTCTTCATATTTCTGAATATAGATATTCAGGGCCCAAAACATGAGAGAGAATTTGAGAGTCCTGTTGTTACTTACTGTAATTCTCAAGTTTTTTTAACACTTCTTGTGTTAAGTAATGTCAACCTGAAAAGAGATTTGCATTTGAAAGAATTTATGATATAACATTGTCAATACTACTGGAGCACCTGGGTGGCTTCATCGGTTAAGCATTTGATTCTTGATTTTCGCTCAGGTCAACTCAGGTCATAATCTCAGGGTCATGAGATTGAGCCCTGCATTGTGCTGCACACTGTGTATGGAACCTGCCTGAGATTCTCTCTCTCTCTCTGCCCTACTTCCTCTGCCCCTATCCCTCCCCATACTTGCCTGAATGTGTGCGTGCGCGCGCGCGCGCTCTGTCTCAAAAAAAAACAAAAACAAAAACAAAAAAAAGCAAAACATTAACAATACTAGTGAAGAAATATTTTTGCCTTTCAAGGAAAAAATAAAACTTTGAAGAGTTAGTTTCAATCTTTCCCTATACTAAGTTGCGTCCCTTCCTAAGTTCTGTCTCATTATGAAGCACATATTTTCTCTTCCACTTATTTCTGAATTTGACAACAGCATCCTTAATTTGCCTCCTGTCACCTTACCCTCTTTATTCCATCTATTACCAACCAGACTGTTTTGTAGTCTTCTTCCAAAATGACCTACAACAGTGCTTGTGCCGTGTAACTCTTTTCTTCTTAAACATGTCCTTTTCTTCATGAACATGTAGTACTTCCCTTTACAGACTTGTCGTAGTACTCGTTTCCCTGGAAGCAGAACCAGAGATAGAATTCATGTACAAGTAATATATCAGGAGAGGTCTTTGAAATGTTACAGCAAAGTAAGTGAAGCAGGATTGGGAAGAGGAAGAAACTGAGATGAACAAGGATGTGGTTTCAGGGGATAGGTAGCCTCAGCTTGATCCAGGAGGTAACTTCGGGATAAAATCGTACCATAGAGGCTGTCTTGCCTTAAGGCAAGGGAACAGGGCTTTTGTCCCCCCTCTCTTGGATTTGTTAGTCACTGGCCACCAGTTTTCCTGGAAATATATGAGTGTGGATGTGTGTGTGTGTGTGTGTGTGTGTGCACGTGTGTGCGCATGCAGGGTGGAGGTAAGGAGGTATTTTCTGTTGCTTACACAGAAAATTGCTGGTGTGCACCCTTAGTTTTTCATGAGTGGCTGTACCAAACTGGTAGAAGGGTTCCAGGGACCCCAGGCTGGGTACAGCATGCGCTGTGAGATTCCATCTGGACTTGAGTCTACTTGCTCAGAGGATTAGGTTCTCTGTGATCTAGACTGAAATTATCCTCCCCAGATCATCCCTACTGATCAGTGAGTCCTATAATTTTATTTCAGGTGTTTCTTACTGGCCCTCACCTGCCTGTCTGTCCTTGCATGAAATTCACCTCATCTAAGATGCCTACTCACCTCTTCACTGCCAACACAAGCTTCTACATCTACAAAGCCCATGTTGAACCTCATCAGCCACCTGTTATCTTCTCTTACTTTTGCAACTCAGTTCATTTTTTCCCTGTCTGAACTCCTATGACAAGCTTTTACCATTTGATTCAGAATTTAGTTATGTGCTAGGTATAACCAGGAATAACAAGGCAGATTCCATGAGGCATACAAATAAACTTAGTTAAGTCATACCTAATACTGTCCACGTATTTAAATAATTACTCCATGTATATTAGTTCTGCTTCTCCAGCTGGACTCTTTGAAAGCAAAGACCATGTTTTTTATACAATCTGTTAAACAACATCTTGTATAGTTTTATGTTCTTAATGTCTAATTAATATTTGATGAATACCAGCACTAATTCCCAAACTTGGAATCATTTATTTGTTCCACAGTAGTTTTTAAGCTTTTAGTATATGCCAAACATTGTTATATATGCTGGGGACATGCAGTGAGCAGAAGAGACAAAAATCTCTGCCTCACAGTGCTTACCTTTTAGTAAGCAGAAATAGGTAAGTGTTCTGGGGAAAAATAGAGCACGTAAGGGAGCTAGGGGGTGCAGGGGTAGGGAATTGCAAGTTAAAATAGAGTGGTCAGGAAAGCTTCAGTGAGAAGGTTATTGGCTATGTGGGTCATGCGTGTCCTAGGCAGAGGGAAGAAGTGGTACAGTGGCCCTGATGGGGAGTCCAGTATGCTTGGAACAGAGAGAGTGAAGCCTGAGTGAGCGCAGGTAAGAGGTGAGGTCAGAGAGGTGGCATGGGATGGTATAGAGCGTGTAGTCTTGTGGGTCACTGTGATATTGTAATCAAATTTAAGTTTTCCTGGACCTAAAAAAAAGTTGTGAGAAAGCCTTGAAGAGTTACAGCTGCCTGGCCAGATCTATCTGATAATGATGTCATTATTGGAAGGAGGGGCTAGAAGGAGGAGCAGACCAAGTTTCTCCTCAAGTCTTCATAGTGGTGGCACTCACTGCCTTTTCCTCCTAATGCTGTCAGAAACAAGGGATGGTTGCCACTCTTGTGGAGTTCTTTTTACCTCCACCCAAGAATCCCCAGAGGGAGAAGATAAGAGAAAAGCCATTTTTGTTTTTGAAATGAAAGTTACCAGAAATTTTATTTTGTGAATATTTTTTGCCCAAAGTATTATTGATATGTATCAATTCATTAAATATATAGTATATACACTTAATTGATTTATTCTTTAGGCCTAACCTCAATATCTGAAAATAGGATTTAGATAAGAAAAGTAAATAAAGATACTTGCTTATGATTTTTTTTTTTTAAAGATTTTATTTATTTATTCGACAGAGATTACAAGTAGACAGAGAGGCCGGGGCCGGGGTGGGGGAGCAGGCTCCCTGCTGAGCAGAGAGCCTGATGGGAGGCTTGATCCCAG